TGCACCACGTGGAGGTAAGTCTATCGCACACCCCAAATAACGAAAGTATCTTCCAGTTAACGTTCCTGACGGGTAGTAGGGCAAATTGGAACTCATGAACAGCCTTTTAGATTTGCAGATCATCAACAAACAAAAAAACCGTCCAAGGAAAACCAAAAAACTCATAAAATTTCTAGCGCAAAGATGCTAACAAGTTAAAAAATTAAATTAAACTCTTTTGACACCCTTTTCTTTGTATTTTATTGAAATGGGGTTGTTTTTTCACGATAATGACAATTAATATTAGCCCCTTTGTGGGTCATAATATTGTTTTGAAAATAAAATGACTCATTGCTTGCATTGGTGGTTTCTGTAGTCATTAAAGTCAATGTTAAGTAAATAAAGTAATTTTCTTGAACTATTAAACGTAACTTAGGTAATGACAATAGTACATATTATTGTTACTCCCCTCAAGAAAAATAATCCTGTTGGCGGACTTTCAGTCAAAGTGTGTATTTAATTAAAACTCACAATGAAATTCAAACAAAAAGGAGAATGTGATCTAATCCACTCACTGCTTTATTTGTGTACCAGATGAATAAATGACCGTAATGTAATAAAAATTCCTGCCAAGATAAGTAGATACATTTCGTCGATGGCATTTATTCTCGAGTCAAATAGATCAATTATATAAACACAATAGAGTTGACTTAATTAAATGGGATCAATCATAAAGTAGCAATTCTGTTAGTAAAACAGTGTTTTCAGATTAATGGAAATGTTGCTGTGATTCCTTTGAGCGATTTGGGTCCTTTCGCGGGCTTATGAATCACCCTCGAAAGATACGCGTTCTATTAAATGCAGTAGCAGGCTCTCGACTAGAGTTTATGATTTCTTTGATGTAGATAGTGATATTGAGTGTATAAATTGAGCGACAAAGCATTACCAAAGAGTTAAAAATAAACTGAAATATTATTCAAATTATTAAAATCAACTCAATATAGTCTGACTTAAAAGACTGTGAGTTTCATGCTTATGTCAGTACCTTAAGGGCGAGGTTTAAAGTAAGGTGAAAAACATGTCTTATTGAAACGAGGTAAAGTCAATGATCGATATATAGACAATGCCTTTTCCAATTATTTATGTCAAATGACAAGCTTTATGATAGTTGTCATTAGCACTTTAGTTGGCTTTGTGCTTCACATTGGGGAAGAACATCAAAATCACAAATAGTCGAGAGGGGAACAGAAGAGTGATTCACATATATAAAAGAGACAGACACAATGGCAGAGAGTGGGGTAAGGTGAATACTGTGAAAATGGCGGAATACGGCATACCGTCGGGCCATGGTAGTTTGAAGTCAACGGCCGGTTTATAGACTTTTACCGTAAGAGTATACGTTGCCCAGAGTCCACCACGTAGAGATAAGTCTATCGCGTACCATCCTTTCCAACGATCACTTTTATCCTATTTTTTCGAATCTTTTTGGAAAGGTCTTCTAAAATTTACCCAATAGCAAAAGAATTCGTTGTTGTTTTCAGTGTTTTAAAATTTCAGTTTTAAGTTTTTTGTCCTTTATTGACTGCCCTTTAGTTGAAAATCATAAAGCCCTTTGACTAACGCTTATCTAAATTCAATGTATTTATACTATTGAAAGCTGTCAGTCAAAAACCTACACGACGTATTCTCAGTATAATTTGAATTTTGAGCGTCTTTTAGGAATTCAGTTGTGAGCCTTATAAATGTTCTTTAATTACCAATTACACTTTGTGCTTATAAATTATAAAAAACGGAGAATATTAATTTATTACTGCGTGAGGGAATATTTGATCAAATCTTTTTTCTTTCAAAGCTTGATTTGGCTAATTACTTTGACTAACCAAATGGAAGCATCTAAAAGAGACAAAATTAAAGGAATCATGGGTTTGAATTCTAGTTACATCGTTGAGATAAGACTGCACCTCATTTTAGTTTATATATTAGAAGTTAAATACAAGTGACTAGTCAAACTGAATGCATTTGACAAGAGTGTTTACCATGTGATCAGACCTAAATACTACGGTCATTGGAGTCCAGAGTAAAACTTATGATTATACCTTAATTCGCCTAAAGATCTAGCTCTTCAGCGTTCTGAGTTAACTGACTTGAATGTTGAATTGAAATGTTAGCCTTTCAAAGTCTAAAAAGCTTTTACTGGCAAAACCCAATACAATTTGGTCAACGTCATGTCACCCACTCCACTCTCCCCCCCCCCGTGAAAGTGGACGTTTAATTGTTTTACATCTATCTTTGATCTCCTTTCTAGAAGGTTCTATATAAATTTCCGAAAAAGGAAATTGAGCAAAAAAATCTATTTGACAAGTGAGGTCTTTTGGCTCTAATTCGTACATAAATTTCATCCACTTTTCTACTCTGGCTTGACATGTGACGTAATCATAATGAAATAGGTTTTCAATCCCGATCTTATTTTGATAAACTTCAATGTTCTTTTGTTATTCGTTGTTTATCTGAATTTATTGAAGCATGAAGACACATAAAATTGAGTTCAACGATAAAATGATTATGATAATATTGTCATAATTAGGATTTCCTCTCCAAATAACTTCCAATAAGGCTCCTTGCATTAAAATGTTGTTTTATTTAAATGGTAATGGGATTTCGATTCAGTAGTATCTAGTTCAAATTTTATCTTGTTCTCTTTCAGTTGTATCGCGTTTACTACACAGAAGATATCAACGCCCCATTAACTGAATGGAATGTGAAGTTGGTGCAAGTCGACTCAGCTCTAATCCAATCAGATGTCAGCGAGAGTGCAGGAACTCTTACACTGCTAACTCATCTCCGATCCAATGCCACTTACCACATTCGAATCAGTGCTGCGAACATCAAAGGTGATGGACCCATTTCGTCTCCGTATGCTGTTATTGTTAGACCTGGGGGTAAGATTACTCATTTGCTTTTACTATATAATTCGTCAACTAAAACATTTAGATAATATACATTAGAATATCAATAATAAGTAGATTTGGCTAATTTGATAGTGAATTCTATGAATTGACAATCAAATGAACTTGTGTTAAACGAATGATGAATGACCATCCGAAGTTGCTCTCGTGGGTGCAACACGTTTTACTCTCCTTCCAGGTGGCATTTTCGACCAATGTGGACGCCCTCACCTCTGATGAGTGTCTAATTTTCATAAACGTTGGCTACTACATCAGAAATGAAAAAATTATGGTTTATATTTTCTAAAATTAGTAAGAGAATGGGAAATAAAAAATTGAATATTCATTTCAAATGGCAAGCTTTAGATAGTTATCATTAGCCCTTTAGCTAACTTCGGACTTCACAGAGGGTAGAAACATCAAAGTGAGAAAAATTCGAGAGGGAGAACAGAAAAGTGATTCAATTATGCAAGAGATAGACAGACACAATGATAGAGAGTAAGGTAAGGGGAGTACCGTAGCAGTGGTCAACTATGACATACAGTGGGGTGATGGTAGTTTGAAGTCAGAAGTCAACTGCCAATTAATAGACTTTTTTGCCGTATGAGTATACGTTGCCCAGGGTGAACCACATGGAGGTAAGTCTATCGCACACCCCAAAATTTAATATAAATGTATACATATCAGTAGGTACCCGAATAATACCACTTAATAATCGTAACAATTATTAGTCGTGAAGAAAAACTGTTACAAATTCAAAGAATGGTTTAGTAGTAGCTGCAAAATGAACTAAATAATTTTGTCAAAACTTGTCCCTGATCCAGTAGGATTTTTGAATATTAAGTCCTGGCTTCCCGGAAGGCTTTTCTGGTCGGTTCTAAATTGATGTACTGCTTCATTATTTGCTGATGACTAGATCTTCTCGATTAGAATGTTATAATAACTTAATATCGTAGAAACACAGAATTCTATGCCCCGTTATGCTTAAAAGGCGCCCTAACCAAATTTTTTCTGATCTCAATTACAGCAATGAAAGATTACACGAGCGATAATGGGCGGCTATATTTGACCACTCGAAATTCTGAAAGTCAAAAGTCAGTTCGCATTTAGAACTCAAATGGTAGTTACTAATAATCGAAATCATTGGCAATTTATCAAAAATTTCAAGCAGTGATATGAAAATGCGGATATGGGTGGATATCTTCTGCGGCCTTGTGCTTTAATTCGATTGGTCTCTACTTTAATTCATTGTTCTTATATCTTCTGACAAATGCTCTTGCATCCACTTTACCATCTCACTATAAATAGACAATCATGCATCAGAAGAATTGCATACTTATGCGGTAAAGTAGAACTTAAATAAGTAATATATCTTTGTTTGGTTTAAGCTTGGTTGATTGTATGATCGGCATAACAAAAGGACCAATTTCTTTGGCGCTAAACAGCTGTCGTGTAAAGGGTCTATTAAGAAAATACCAATTATATAGCTAGAAGATGAGGCTTCAGTGGTTAAAAATTAATGCTCTCCTTTGCCAGTTTCTCTTCTCTCTTACACCCTCGCTAACCCTTAAACATAATTTTTTATGATTGCCAATTCGTTATGATTCATTCACTAAATGATTAATGAAAATTTAAAAAAATGCTTCCCTCACTTTTGCAGCTCTGCCTTCACCTGTGAACTTCAAAGCCGTTTCCAAATCAGCGCATGAGGTTTCTCTCCACTGGCAAACTCCGGAAACTCAACAGCGAGGTCCGCCGTTGGTCAACTACGAGCTTTTAGTCACCCCAATAGACGGAGATGGAAATACCGACTCCACATCTCGACGAATTTTCATTGAACCCAGTTTGAACAGCTATTTGGTGAATGCTTTGCTTCCCAATACAAAATATGAATTTCGTTTAGCCGCGGTATCTGAAAGTGGAGCCGGAATTCCATCTGAAGCCACGGCAAAAACCAAGGAATATGGTATATGCCATAGTAGTACTTATTTTAACTCAGTAGAGTAAGCGATACCGTTGGAAAAAGAAAACGACATTTGTGGATTCTTGACTGAAATTATTTAGGGTGATGGTCGCTGAAGATAAACTTAATCTACCTAGGAAATCGATTAAAGTCCTTTTATTCAAACCAAGGTAGCTTGAATTTTATATATGAAGTATATTATGTGGAAATGGTTCTCTCCTACTGAGATAGTTCGGTAGATTTGTAAAATAACTGGAATATTTCCAATGCCCTTCAACAATAACAACAACAACGACGAAGCCCAAATTGGGAACAGTCGGGAAAATAAATAAGGCTGTTAAACCGGAAACCGGAATTGAAAATGCATACGCTGAAAATGGAAATGTGAACTTGTCATAAGGAGATGCCGAAAGATAGTGACTGCTACCTAATATTACTAATTACGACACTAACCAAATTTGCTCCTGTTTCTAGGTCACTTTATTCCAAATATGCATATGATCATGAAATTGATTTCACTGTTTGAATTTCAGTTCCCGGTCCACCAAATAGAGTTACTGTTGAGGCCACTGGAAGCGATCGATTAAAAGTCACATGGACACCACCGAAAGAAGCAATATCTCCTTCCCTATTGGCTAGTATGGGTCAACGTGCTAATGAACTTCGAATAGCCTACTACGACGTCGATGTTCGAGCTACCGATGCAAAGGTAATTTACTGCTTCAAGATATCGGTGATAATTAACTTTTCTGAGTAAGTTCTTAGAGAACTAACAGTAATTTACAGTAGTTATTCTGGCATTTACCATTAAATAGTGGAATGCATTCTGGAATCGTGGGAAAGCCTCTGAAAATGATAGAATAAAATAATTATAATTGGATTGCTATAAGCTACTATTCTCATAATTATTACTGTGCATAAAATTTTAAATTTTATCATAAATTCCCAAATTCCAAATTTTGGACCGATTTCGCCGACAGCTAATGTAACAGATCTTGATACTTTTGCAACTCATTTAATCGATCGACTCGAATATTTTCAACTTGATCTAACTGCAAGTATATTCAAATGTTTCATTGAAATACTATATTCATTCATAAATACGCTTTATAGTTATGAGCATTCTGATGTTTCCATGTGGTTGTTGTTTAAGTCTTATTTAAGTAAAACTAACTGAAAAATTCAGTTGCATTTTTGTGACAAAAAGAGTCATTGAACCTCATTCACCACTCTCTCTATTTTCAGATCAGCCAATTTCGACAGATATTTAAAAAGATTAATGACCCCAGATGTATATAAATTGCATAAAGGTTCATTTGGTTTATTTAATTGCGAAAAATAATTTGATTGTATCAATTAATGTGAAATTAACCCAAATTTGACTGATTTTTTAAATAAAAGCTTCAGGAGAAGAAAACAAAATCCTCTTCATTCTGAATTTTGTAGTTTCGTGATAATTATTAAAGGCAGCGATATGCTTTTATTAGGCAGATTATTGAACTAATAATTGCAATATTCAAACAAATGAGTTTCAGAGGTGGATTAAGTCGACACAAATAATTGGTAATTTATCTTACATTTTGCTCAGCTCAAATGAGAAGTATAAACATTGGCACTGCAAATAGATTGTTTTTTCCTCCTAGATTGGTTATCAAAAAATTGCTTGTGTCATTGCCTAAGGAGGGCAGTTGAAATGCTGACACTTTTGCAAAAAAATACCACGATTGGAATATTCAACAAAGATAAAGCTCATTAATCTATTTGTACTAACACTTTTTCACTGTCGTCCATACTTTTAGTTCCAACTCCTTTCGTTTTTAACTCAACCATCTAGACTCTAGACGTCTTATGACAAGTAGTTCTTTTTATACTTGCCTGGCCTTGGTACGAAAGAGTGAACTTAGCAGTAAAAATCATGGCATGTCACATTGCTCAATTCCACACGCCTTCAATATATACCTTTTTATTTCTCCCCACCGTCTGAATGCCTTCTGCTAATACCAGCATCCATTGGTGGACAGCAAGTCAAAGAGAGTGGAAAAGGACTCTAAGTGAATTTTCCATAGTTGCCTCTTGGCTAAGACTTTAAACATTTGATCTTTTCAAAGCTATTTTACCTAAATACCTCACTGTGAGTCAAATTATCCTGCGTGCTATTTTTTTATTGTCGCTATTTGCTGCTGGGGCATAGTATTATTATATTCTGGTTAATATTCATTCATGCTGGAAAGTCATCTTTTGGATTTTATCTGATTATTCTTTTTAAATCGAGAATCAATATCTTTCGGGAGTTGGTTTTTTCTAATAGGTGAGAAATTTTCTTATTTATTGATAAACACTATTACGCCACGAAATAGTTCTACCTGCCATGGTGAAGGTTTCCTAAGCTCCTCTGTTTCCTACCCCTGAGTGATATAGAGTGGTGCCGTGATAATTTTTTTTCCTGAGCGATTCTACTTAGAACTTCTACTTAAATTATGGTGGATAGATTTCGTAATTAGTAAGAAGGCTATGTGTCTGCTTGTTTGAGTACTGCAACCAATAAAGGTATAAATTAAATGTAGTTTACCTAATTGACGAAAATCGACAGAGTGATTGCAATCAACTCCCTATAGAAATCTCCAGGCAGTTAAATAATTTAAACGTTTTGTGTTGATTGGATGTTCAAATTCACTTATTGAAGTACGAAGATAATTAAGGTTAATGGCATAAGTAAATGTTCAATTTGTTTTGCAAAATCCATCCTAAATTAGCATACGAAACTAGAAGGAACAGGAGCCAAACTTTGAATAAAATATCATGCCAACTGTGTTGTTAACTTGCTTATAAGATAACAGATTCCCATCACTATATCAACCTAAATATGCAATTCAAAACAGAAAACTTGTTCACTGCTAATGGAAGCTGACTGCGTAGATGAAACTATTTGAATTCAACTCTCTTCACTTTAAAGTGAAAATTAGGATGTTAGATCGTTTAAATTGGCCATTTACGTCTTAATTTACCAAAATAATGTCTTATTCCAATAAAGTGCTGAAAGTGTGCGCTTACAACATAGGCAATTATGAGTTCATTTTAAGTAAATATAAATATATAGGCCTATTTTAAAACTGGAATTAACTTATTTTGATGGCAGCAGAAGAATCTATATCTAAGTAGAATTTATTTCATTTTTGTCATCGTGATATTTCCCTTCGAATGGGAGCAGCAATCCACCTGATTTGTGATGTCATTATTTTAAATTAACCCCTCCAAAAATGAAATAAATTAAATTCAGGGAATCCTTTTGGCAATATTTTAAAAAGGATGAAAATTGCCTTCTTATATTTTGTTTATTAAGCAAACGAATTCCTTATGCTTGTACCCCGTTAATAAAATTTGAAAAAAATATATATTTGTACTTTTGATTTTCACAATCAATTTTGTATCAAGCCCGTCTTAATCGATATTTTATGGAACTACTTTTAGAATAACTACATTTATTGCTCATTAGGGTAACTGGTTGAGCGGCACTCACTATGGAACAGTTGAACAACAACGACCAATCAGACAACAGTCCACCTCAGATCAAAAAATTGAGGAAGCCAGAGGAAAGCTGACTTACTCGAAAGAAATAAGCGGACTCCTTCCAAGCACTCATTACGTCGTGCACATCAGAGCAGTTTCGAGATCTGGATCAGGAGATAGAGCCAAGTCAAGTCCCACTATGACTTGGCCTTTGCGTAAGTTTTTTTGCCATTTAAAAATGCTATATTATTCCGCAAGAAATAGCTGACAAATTAATTTATTGGCTTTAGCCCCTCTTAGGCCAACCAATCTAAAGCTTCGTACCATCGTTTCCCCGTCTTCAAGACATCGAATAATTCAGGTTCATTGGAAGCCTCCTATGCAGGAAAAGATTCCAGTTGGTGGATTCAAATATCGTGTCCAATGGAGATTGCTGATTTCACCAAAAATGATCCGAAAGTCCACTGATCTCCAACGTTATCGACGTGAGTTTGATAACGCGGACTTGGAGCCGATTACTTCAGAGCAGGCCAAGGAATTGGGTATTGCAGAGGAGTTTATAGGTGATGAAGAAAATGTAACGAAACTTAATTGGAATTCACCACCTGGGAAGCTCCGTGAGATTTCTCGATTAATTAACCACAATTCTTTATTTTAAATCAAACCAATGAAAATTACTTTTTTAAAATTTCAGTTGGTGGATTGTCCTATGAAATCAGGGTGGCAACAATGGATGAATATCAAACTGGGGAAAGCGTAATCGGAAGAATTGAACTTCCAGATGATGGTAATTACTACTTTTTCATTTGCACAAAAAATTGGTGAATCCAAGGGCTCTGTAAAGCAGCCATCACTAGATGTGCTTTCGGAAAACACTAGTTAATTGAAGAATCTTATCTTAGAATCGGTCAGTAAGTTTCTCTGCGTATACACAGTTGCATAAATCGTTTACAAATCGAAATATAATCTGATGTTTGCTTATTACATGACCTTTTCACGCAACAAAATACTGTCTTGAACATTTGTCAACTGATGGGAAATACTTTCCATTAGGCGACGAGGTAGAATAGTTTTGCCAATTTGACTTAACAAAACTCATTTCAGTAGGAATTTTTTGAACACAACTTTATAATAAACCGAAAATTGTATACTCATGAAGAATAAAATACAGGCCTCATTTATATGCAATTTTAGTCCCTTCTTTGCCACCTTCTGGTGTTCGAATTGACACTACATCCCCATACCTCCTACTTTACTGGAAGGCTCCTCTCCTAGAAGCAAGAAATGGACGCCTGGTTGCCTACGAGGCAGAATGCTCTTGGACTGATGTCTCTCAGGGTTTCACTGAGTCCTGGCAAACCAATTCCGTTAAGATTGAACCAGAAAGTCCAGTTCCTTCGACCCTTTTCTGGTCAGCAGGACACATATCTTTGTTGAATATGTCAGCTCCGACTGTTGCATCATTCGGAACTATTTACCGAGGAAGGGTTCGAGCTTGGACTTCGATTGGTCCAGGCCCTTGGTCTGAATATGAGTCCTTGAGCTTGAAAAGTCTTCGTGAGTTTGCTAAATGTTTTCTCTACAGTGTGTCGTCCAAATCTTAGTCTTTCATTAGAGCGCTTTCTTTCTATCACTAATGGCACTTCATTTTGGGTTATTAGAGGCACGCACACAATACTGGTTGTTTAGCATTTCAAAATTTCAATTAACAGAAATCGGTAAATACAGTACTCCTGATGCAAATGGTGTTGCTCCAGCCCACCTTTTACTAAGGAAACGAATACTTTAGTTTAGTAAAATAACTGAAGAAGAATAGGCTAGTTGATGATGATTTGTTTGCTTAATTCAAAATTCTTATAATTATGGTACATCTATTTCTTACTTAATAAAATACATGCCAAACCCATGCGTTGATTCACGAACAGATAATGGAAATCGGTACTTCTACATGCCTGGTTACCTCTTATTGAGATTTATTTAATCACAAAGATATTTTCATATATTTGACATAGGCAGAACTTTGATATGGAGGATTATTTAATTCCCTATTCTGTAATCTCTTTTCTTCTATCACTACTGATAGGGTATCTATTTCTCTCTCCCTTTCCATCCTTTTCTCCTCCACCTTCCTCTGCTCTTCCTCCTCCTCCTCTTCCTCTTCCTCCTTTTTGCCGTTTTCCTTCGCCTTTCGAAGCAGTTTTCGGCACTTTTTCGAACGCTATATCGCGTGCTAGTCTTTCTTTTCCTATCTCCCTCTCGCTCTCCGTTTCTGGACAGAGCGCGATGTTTCATACAATATGTAGGCCATGCTACCTTATCTAATATTCTGTTTGATCATTTCCTTCTAGCTAATATACCTTTTCTAGAAATCTTTTTGCCATTAACACCATATACAATAATATGAAATTCTTCTGGCCCGTGTTCATTGCCCGTTCAATTTGCTAATAGACTCGTAGATATTTTTAACTTCTTCCATGACATATTTTATCTTCTTGAAACAGTTCCAAAGGAACCAGATTCTGTGAATGCAGTCTTGATTGAGAAGAAAGGTGTTCTAGTGACATGGGGAATACCAGATGGATTCATCCAAACCTCCTTTCATCGCAGCAATTCACGAGGTAAACCTGAAGTGAGGTCACTAACCTATCGGCGGTTTGAAGTCGAGTACGCGAAGCAACAAGCCATCGGAGAGCAAATGAACTGGCAGAGCTTCCATACCGCAGGACCCCAAACTAGCATCACTCTGGTGAGCCTAAATGAGATACCCCCAATTGTAGGCTGAATTTGTGAAATTGTTTGCATACAGACTGAAGGCGGATAAAGGCAAAAGAGGATTGAATAACCTAATAATGCAAATTGTACTAGCATTACATTACAAATGCTTGAGAGAAAAAGTGAATGTGCTGTAAAAAAATTGCTGCTAATCAGAAATAATTTATACCACTTCGTATTCATTGGCTGTTTGGATCATTTAGGTGGCCACATTATAAGATTATCAACCTAACGTCAAAGCAAAATTCACCTATCACTCTGTAGCGGATTGCTACCTTAGTAAAGCCTGACTAACTCAGAAATCTCTATGGCAAATTCTCAAACATCTAGCTAGACTCCCAGAACCAGCTAAGCTATAGCCCAGCTATGAAGGAAACAGACGTGTAGCACGGAGCACGTTTATTCAATACGTATATCGCGGATAAAGTGTTTACAGGAAGGAAACCAGTCATACAACATGGCGGATTTGATAAAACAAATGAGGGCCCTTGAGCTGCTATTGGCTGCGTGCTCTTGTTCTCAATCCGTACGCGAAGTTGTACGGCCGCACTTCAAGTCTATGTGTACGCGCATGTGATGACGTGTCCCACAACTCTGCATGGTATTGCTATTGTCCACAATGATTGCAGTCAAACACATATTAAGCACCTTCAAGATGCTCTAAGGAAAGATAAATAAGAAATTCATTTACTAAAGAGAGAGAGGAATTCATTTAAAAGAAAATCATTCATTTACTGAGGTGATTATTGTTTAGACATCTTCTCATTATTTCGTGTGTCCCAGATGAGACTTTATTATGAGCGTTTAATTGAAAAGAAGAATCATTTGTGTGGCACAATATTTAATATCCTTAATGCATCTTTAGGGAGCACAATTTATGAACCTCTGCTTAGCTTGCTTACCTCTGGGATTTTAGGCTCCTTTTCATCAGATGAGATTGCTTTGTCGTAATAGCCATTGAATGCAAATATGAAATGAAGCAAAGCTATTAATCAAAAGCACTCAGCGTTGTTCATGAGCGTCTACTGTATTCCACTAGACGAACCTTGAAGTTTTAATTTTGGAATTTGAGTCACTTATTCATTGGTATGATCCAACCTGAATTGAATAGCAAATAAGGAATGACTCATCAACCTTACGTTTCAGCCCTCCAATCATGCTGATCTTTCTGATAATCGCATTCACTTACTGCACAATATTGGAAATCAATGGAATTTTTACATTATTCACATTGTTAAAGATCAAATCTCTTAGTTTGTACGTTTGCTATATTTTAACTTAAACTTGCGTTTTACAATTTCTGTATAGCCAATATTCGAGAATCCGGAGCAGTATGTAGTACGAGTTCGCTCAATCGGTATTGCAAACTTGCACAGCGATTGGACATCCCCAATTCTGATACGAAGGGCTCATCCCATTGGTACTGCCGTTATTGACGATCTGAAATGTCACGCCGTAGCTGGGGATGGCAAGAATGCCGAATTAGAATTGACATGGAGTCCTGCTGATGCAACATCTATACCGTCTATTAATCACTACTTAGTAAGTTGATTTAAGTAGTATGTATTGGGTTGCCAACTAAGTCATTGCCGTTTTTGTTTACGGATTCACTCTATACTTTCGTTGGTTTTGTTAACGTGACCAGAGCATCTAACCTATATTTTTTTCTTACTGTATGGGCTTCTAGGTTAATTAGTAAAAAATTTTTTTGTTTAGTTCTTTAGTTTTGTTTTTATCCCAATTTAAAAATGAAAGAACAGGACGTGCACTTCCGACACATTTTATTGTATTACTTCCGAAAAGGCAAGAACGCATCGCAAGCACAAAAGAAGTTATGTGCCGTATATGGAGATAAAGCCTTAAAAGAAAGGCAGTGTCGAAATTGGTTTGAAAGATTTCGTTCCGGTGATTTTTTTTACTGAAAAATTCACAACGATCTGGCCGCCCAGTCGAAGTGGATGAAACCCATATCAAGGCCATTATCGATTCAAATCATCACAGCACAACACGAGATATTGCAGAGAAGCTCAATGTGTCGCATACATGCATTGAAAAAAAATGAAAAACCCTTGGTTATGTCAAGAAACTTGATTTATGGATCCCTCACCAGTTAAAGGAAATTCATTTGACGCAACGGATTAGCATCTGTGATTCGCCGCTACTGAAACGCAATGAGAATGATCCATTTGTGAAGAACCTAGTTACTGGCGACGAAAAGTGGATAGTTTATAACAATGTTACTCGCAAGAGATCATGGGTGAGGCAAGATCAACCAGCCCAAACAGTATCAAAAGCAGAGATTCACCAAAAAAAGATTATGCTGTCAGTGTGGTGGGATCACAAAGGAATTTTGTATTTTGAACTCATGCCGCAGAACCAAACGATAAATTCAAATGTGTATGTTGAAGAACTCGAAAAACTGAAGGATGCAATTGAAGATAAGCGGTCGGCATTATCAAATCGGCGGAAGGGTGTTGTTTTCCATCATGATTATTGGAACTGGGTTGGGATGTTTTGTCACACCCACCATATAGCCCTGACCTTGAGCCTTCGGATTACCATTTGTTTCGTTCCATGCAAAACTCTTTAAATGGTAAAATTTTTAACAACACGGATGATGTCGGATCACACCTAATTCAGTTTTTTAATAGCAAAGACCAGACATTTTACGAACGGGGAATTTTTACTCTGCCAGAACGATGGAAAAAGGTCATCGACAAGAACGGCCAATATCTAATTGAATAAAGTTATATTTTTAAACAAAAATTCCGACTTTGCCTTCTTATTTGAAATCGGCAATGACTTAGTTGCCAACCTAATAAAACTTTGTGATTCTTTGGGTAAACATATTTTTTCCTTTCAGGTCAATTATACCGGAGGAAGAGTTTATCTTAACTCTAAAGGTCATCGAATTCGCGAAACACAGGGTGAACGAGAACAATCAGTTATATCTCCCGATTCCTCTTACAGGATGATCGTCCATCGCCTGGTCGGACTGAAGTTCAATACTGCCTATCAGATCAATGTTCTTCCTGTATTCGAACGCACTGCACAATTCGGAATGTATAGTGAGGCAAAATCTGCCTTCTGTAGGACCCTTTCAAAACGTAAATCTCTAATCTATTTAAGAATGTGTGCATCTATGGGCAGATATTATGACCAATATTTAATTTAGCTCCTAGATATATCCCCATGCCTGATTTCCGTCCGCCAATGGGTGTAATCCCTGGAGAAGTAACCGTGTATAGAGCGAATGAGCAGAATGGCACCGTCACCACATATGAACTACTTGCTAGAGAATCTGGCACTCCTGAAAATGCTCATGCCCCTGCTGTACTTGCTCAGTTTCCTGCTGTTACGCTATTCAGACCACTCACGAAAGCTGTTCGTATCGTTCTGAACGGATCGACATCAAACCTGGGACGGGACAGTGGCTTATTCTTTGCTCCTTCACTTTTGTCTGGCCAAGCCTATGATATTGCTGTTCGTGCTTGTGTTGAAGTAATTTATTTACTGCTTAGATAAATTAAGTAGACACATTTAAGCTGCGTTCATTTATACTCTATTTCTTCCATTTTAGGGCCATGATGCCTTTGGATCAGAAATAGATGTTCTTCGAAATGGTGGTTTAGATACAGCCTCCCCTTGTTCAACAAGCGATTGGTCAGGTCCTGGAGCACAAGATTCAACTAAGCCCGACCCGGATCAATCAGAATTAGAGAATCTGGCTGACCTAGAAGATGATCCAATCTGGCCACCAATTATTCGGGAGAACATAAGCGCAATGGTTACTTCCCCGCAAACGCCGTTCAATGATGCTGCTACAGGTAGATTTTTATTTTTTGCTTTAAACGCATGTTTGGCTATCTTTAATTTGTTTTTTAATAGTTTCAAAATCTGGAGACCAAGATCCATCCTCCACTGAAGTCTACTTTCCCTCAACGAATCTAATAGCTGAATCGATTTTATCAACTCCAACACTTTCAGAACCTAACTTTTATAATCACAGAGATCGAATTCAGGTTATCGTTGCAGCACTATCAGTAGTAATAGGAACCTGCATTATGGCTTTCATTTTCTTTCTCATTGCTCGGCATTTTCAGAAGCGAAACCAACACCGACATCTTGGAAACGGGGCTAAACTCAGTGGAAGTACTGTAAAACCCCTTGAAACTTCAGGATCAGCCGCACCGGTGAAAGCAATGAATATTAGGGGTGTGGGAACATTTTCATCGGCTACTGCACCCCTTTTGCGATATGAGCCTATGGGAAGGGGACTGCGAACACCCGATGGTCTATCACTGCATTCCGAACAGATGATTGGTGGATGTAGTTCATCGTTAAGACGATATAATGGAGGACTTGCTGCGGCAATGACTTTACCTGCCTCTATAACTGGAGGCACTATTGATGGTCCATATGCCTGTTCGTCACCGGTGAATGGAATTAATTCAATGGAGATGGTTTCTCCTGCGGGAACGCTGAATTCTAGACACCCACCTCCGCCGTATTTCATGCATTTACCTGCTCCTGTTATACCTGGCATCATAGGTAAATACTGGACTAATTTTAATTGGTATATCCCCTTCAACATTTCGTTTAGTTCGAACTATGTGGTAGCTCGTAGTAACATTCCGAAAGGGGGTTTAAATATAATCGATGTTTAGATGTTCACTTTTTTGTTATAAATGCTACTTTCTAGTATTGAGGGCAACCGAGTTATAATCAGCTCGATCATTTTCTCGAATTTGCATTCAATTACTTCAAATTAGAAATAGAAATGCTGACATTTTTCACTCCAATTTTAAACTTATTGATTACTACCCTTTAGAATTTACAACTTTACCAGTCTTACTTGTACCTCAAGAACATACACAACGAAAATATTGATTGATAATTCACAGGATTGTACAATTAATTTATTTGTTCCAAATAACCAAATCTTGATGTTAGTTACCTAAAAAAATGAAAAGACAGTAATCTTTCTAACTTGGTTTTCTCTAAATCTCAAACCCGGTTCTATGAATCCTCCGCTTCAGATGAGCATAGTGCATCTCATTCAGTCGCTCTCGAAGACTTAGCAAAGCACGTGGAGCAGTTGAAACAAAATCAGGGGCTTCTACTCTCTTCCGAATTCGAATCTATCGACCCTGGTGGCCAATTCACTTGGGAACACTCCAGCCGTCCTGCAAATCGACCCAAAAATCGATATGCCAATGTTGTCACTTATGATCATTCGCGTGTTATACTCAGTCGTGTCGACGGTGATATGGATAGTGATTATATTAATGCCAATTTTTTGACTGGTTACAATCACAAATGCTCATACATTGCCACACAGGTTTGTAGTTCATAAACCTTACTAACTACTGAATAAGTAGATGAAGGTATTCTAATTTGCGGTCTGCCTTTCAGGGACCTCTCCCGAATACCATTTGTGACTTCTGGCGTATGATATGGGAGCAGCATTGTAGCACTATAGTAGCAATGACCCGATTGGAAGAAAGAGATCGTGTTAAGTGCGAGCAGTATTGGCCAACCAGTTGTCTACCAACCAATGCACTTCTTAGCCCAACCAAGAGCGCTGATTGGTTATCACCAAGGTCAACCTTAACTTCAAACTCAGAAAGTTCTCAAAACGTTGGTTCAGTGGGTGGTTCCCCGATAGCGACCACAACTTATGGACAAATTACTGTCAGTTTGATGGAATCTGTTGAGCTGGCTTATTATACCATCAGAACTTTCACAGTGCAAAAGAGCGGGTGTGTAGTAAAATCTACAGCTATGTTTGCTTGACAGAAATAGAGTCGATTTTAATTTCGGTTATCATTAATAGATGCAGAGAAAAGCGCGATGTCCGCCAGCTACAGTTCACTGCATGGCCAGATCATGGAGTTCCCAACCACCCAGCTCCTCTTTTAATGTTCCTGAGACGAGTGAACGCTGAATTTGTACCAGAAGCTGGACCAATAGTCGTTCACTGTTCTGCAGGAGTTGGTCGTACAGGTTCGGGTCTGGCCAAATCAATTTTAATATTTATACATATCTCTTCTAAATTTGCATGCATTTTTAGGAGCATACATCGTTTTGGACATCCTTCTTCAACAAATGCATCACGAGAATGCCGTGGACGTTCTCTCTGTGGTAACGCAACTTCGTAGTCAACGGAACTTCATCGTCCAAACTGAGGAACAATATGTGTTTATCTACGAGGCATTACTTGAAGCAGCTTTAAGTGGAAATACAGAACTACCAGCACGGCAGTTACGAGGACACTGGCACAAACTCATGGTTCCTTGTTGTCCTGAAGACGAACTTCTACAAACACAAAATTCAGATTCGGATCCTCTAGCGAATACAGGTTTGGCTCTGGAGTTTGATCAACTGGTAAATCAGACTGTTGGACCTGTAGCGTCACTTGTTGCGCATCAATCCCCCGGAGGACTTCTGGCTTGCGGAGATGACTACTGTGATACTTCCGGAGATATTGCAAGTGGCGCTATTTCGGTGAGTTCATTTGCTCCTATGTATTCATTAGAAAATAGAGACTTTATTCATACTCTTAGCCCCCCCCCCCCCCCGTGAATAAATTTTCTACAACCAGTGGCTCGCTGCCTGGAGAGTGATAGGAAAAAGATGTTTTTTTACTAGTTACTGTCTGTATACAGAGTCAAAGGTTGAACACGTATCACTGATCTCGATAGGAGGCCCGGGAAGCGGAGAGGTTGTTGTTAAGTAATTGCACTTAAGCTTATCGCTTGTCTGTTATTCGTTTAGGCCTTATTTTCCTTTTTGCAGATTGGCCTCCCTGCCTCTAAATGCTCTTCTAGTTGCCGTCATTGATTTCATCCTTGTTGTCACTTGTGATTGTCTTTTAAAAGAAGAGTGGTAAACATGATTGGTTATTTTGTATTCAGGTTTGAAGCCGTACATCTTATACCTAAATAACGCCTTTTCGCTGTAACAATGAGAACATATGGTTTACTTTATTATGGTTTTGATGTGGTCTTGTAGATTATAGTGATTAATTTCATTATGGATTGTCGCGGCAGTAAAACAATGGAGGAATTGATTAATTGAAATGATTAAATTGAAATATATAAAGTTCTCGGAATGAGACCCACTTGGGCGTTCTTTCTAAGCGCATTTGTCTTGATACGTATTGCGATTTTTCTCGTTGATAAATTTATTTAATCACTTCATGTAAACAAATTTTTTGCACAAACTTGCTGGACTTTTTTGAATCGGTAAGGCAAATGCTTGAACAAGTCACGTCAAACTCCAACGATCATATTTCATCAAAGAAGAAAGCTGAAATTATGTTGTTCGTCCCAATTCGGAAGAACGTCAAAAATCTATAGAAGATAAAAAGACAAGCTTGAGTTACATAAGGCGCTTTGATTGAGTAAATATTGTTAATATTTTTTAATAGTGCATTTATTCAACTACATTTAATCGAACTTCTGTAAAACGCTGATTCTTCCCTCTACTTAGGTTAATATTCCGAAGAATCGTGGAGGTTTTGAAGTCATTCCTTGTGAAAGCAATCGAGTAAAACTCTCCCCGATTCGTGGTGTCGAGGGTTCTGACTATATCAACGCTTCCTATATTGACAGCTATCGTCTGAGGTCAGCATTTATTGCAACACAAACGCCATTTCCAGCATTCGTTGAAGATTTCTGGCGTATGATCTGGGAATCGGGTTCCTGTATCATCGTTCAACTCGATCCTTACGATTTCGATAAAGAGGTATGAATAATTAACTACAAAGGAAAAGTTTAATTCACATGAGGAATTTCATATTATTCTATTTTAGCCACCCTATTGGCCAACTGAAGAAGCCGCAAGATATGGATTCTTGGTTGCTGAACCTCTTGCAACCTATGATATGACAGTCTATGTATTAAGAGAGTTTCGACTCACTGATGCTAAGAGTGGTCAATCTCGAATAATCAGACTATTCGAGGCTTCACAGCTTTCTCTGCTGATTGGACGAGTGCTGGTCTCATCCCGACATTTGAACCGAGATCCAAGTGATGTAACACTACCACCGTCTCTTCCACCATTAGCTGAATGGTTACCTAATCGTTTGTCATCCAATAATACCCCCAGTTTTGGATTCATGAGTGGTGGAAATAATTACTATCGTTCTACGTCAAGTGATTCGCAAAAGAAGAATGTGTTTGATGAACTAACTTGCCAGAAAGCTGCCGTTAATCTCATTGACCTGATTGAACAAGTGCATAAAACCCAAGAACAATTTGGGTTGGAGGGTCCAATTACTGTTCACTGCAGGTAATTTAAATAGGCTACAATTTAGATGCATTACTGAAACGTTGTGAGTATCAGTTATTTTCTCTCATAGAACGGGTACCGGTTATACGGGTATTTTCCTGATGCTCTCAATACTTTTTGAACGTATGCGAATCGAAGGTGTTGTGGACGCTTTTCAGACAACGAAACTGCTGTGGTGGCAGCGACGTGGTCTTGTAGAATCCTCCACAGAATATGCCTTCTGTTATGCCACAGCATTAGAGTACTTGAGTCTTTATGAACCCCTTCCAAACACCCAACTTGCTACAAATCCCCCTTCTTCAAATCTCTCCTAACAATATTTCCTAATTTATCCATTTTGCCCTCCCCCTTCTCTGGTAAATGCTATTCTCTTTACAGTTATATAGACATATATATTAAACTACTCGAGCGTTAGACATGCATTTCTGTACATAACGAGACTGCCAGTGCGTGGCTCGAGTTCCTTGTTCCTTGTATGCAGTTACCATATTTGGATGAATATGAGATAAGAAAATGAACCTCTTTTGCTATTTTTATTGGAGGATGGGTTGGGATTAATACCAATTAATTTAATTGAGAAATGTGCTAAGCTGTACATGATTAGAGTTCAACTCAGAATTACTTATTGGAGAGGAGATTACCTGTTTATTAAATTTTGCTTATTCTTTGATTATTTATTAGTTTTTAATACGCTTGAGATATCTGCTAATTGAGGAAGTTCAGTAAAACGCATTGTCAATCGATGATTAAGCTCTGTGTTAAAAAAGGTGATTAATCTAGTGCTTTATTTCAGATTTCTTAATCAACTTCAGACCTGTAATGATGGGCAATTAGGAATTTCGGAGGATTGTCTAGAGGTAGTATAATTTTATGAAAAGAATAAGAATGGAAAGAAATTCTATCATTTCTTGAGAGTTTTCATGGGTTGAAAAGTGATAATGTTAGAAATTGTAAGAAATCAGGCCCACCCCCCCCCCCCCCCCCCCAAATGTTATAACAAAGTCAAGTTTCCGTCTTTAATAGGATGAGTAATAAAATCATAAAAGGCAAAAAAATAACAGGAAAATCAATAACGTCAAAAGCTTTCCAATTCACCACTATTCTCAGCTCGGAAACTTTGTTGACGAAAAGCGAAAAGGTGGGAGCGAATACTTACATAACTGTAGAAATATGGTAAAAGTGTCATTTTGGTTAAAAATAAGTAGACGTTGTGGCTATACACAAAAATAACTCTCAATATACATGAGTTTGACCATGAAAAATTAACGATAAACGATTTGAGATAGTCATAATTGGGAAGAGTAAAATTTGCTGGGTTGAGTGAATCGTTATTATATGTGATGGAGGAAGTAATTCATTGAATAAAGATGCACTATCGTGGACCATCTTTTGCAGCTCGTTGATTGGTGATTTTCTACCTAACCAGACCATCTGCAAAGTGCTCGACACTGCTTTTAGCATTTTCAAATAATGATTGGCTTTGATAGCTGAAATTCCACCTTTAGCCAATGCCTATCCACAAGGATTGTGTAAACCAATTAAAACTGAATTTTGCGTTAGCTAAAAATCGCCTACTAATCAATAGATAGGTAGATACTTTGTAATTCCCGTTATAGGAGTGGAGCTGCCATCCCACTTTTTTAATTTCGGTATCAGTCTCCTGCTGCTTTAGAACAAATTTTAACCTGTTAATAAATTTAAAATAGGGGCTAGTGTCATTCTCTATTCTTAACATAGTTTGGAAATTTCACCCAATCGCTCTTAAGGCTAAGCTTTAGCCTAAGAAAGTGCTTAATTAATCATTCCAATCACCTCAAATGAGCTAGTAAATAATGATGCTGACAATTTCTTTTGAAAGAATTCCCTTAGAGTTTTCAATTCATTATTTTCCATGTTGCATTTGATCTCAATAAGGGCTTCAGCTTATTGGAAACCACGCATATTACTGGGTTCGTCAGGTCTTGAAAAATTGGGGCCACTCGGGCAATCGAAATGAGATTTGAATCATATGATTAGCAAGAATTGCGATTAATCATGGAAGGCCTTACCGTAGTGCATTGCAAAGCGTCAAGTGCAACCCAGAGAAAACAGTAACACGGTCTAACGTATACTTCTGTGTTGCCCCGCGATGTTAGTAGGTGAACTTTCATTGGCTCCTCATTTACAGAGCGAAAAACGTAAAACAGATAATTCCTACCACACTTCCTCCCATTGTATTCCCACGTCGTTGCCCACTACGCACGTGATCCAGTTTAACTATTGGTTAGTTTGTGTCTGTTAAAAGGCTGTCGTTAATTGTTGGCCTCTAGAAAGTTCTTTAGTTCTGCCAAACACCAAAAGTGACTTAAGTAGAATGGGTAATTCTTCACGCGAAGAAATCGTCATCAGATGTCAGATGTATGTAAGGAACAATTGAGTGATTGGATGAAAGGAGTAAATTTGGTTAAAGGGAGAGTTCGTCGTATTCAGACGAAGGGAGTTTATTATTATATGCCAAGACTCGAAATGCCGCATAAGCTAGTTCAGTGATATTAAAATGATTACCGTTAGGCGAGTATTATGATCATCTGGTAATGGAACACATGCAAAAGGAGGCCGGAATCACTTATTTTCGTTGTACTACTTTCTCGTGCTGGCCTGCCAAATCATGAGAAAATGGGATTCACTAAATGTTTTCCCGGGAAGTGAATCAGGAGATTAAACTACAAAATATTCAAAAGGTAACAATGGAATTCACGGTATTTCGCTGTTTAGAAAACTGAAATTTAAAAGCAATTCACTCTCTTTCTGAAAAGAAAACATCCTCGAAACGATATATATATGTATATATGTTAATGTCTAACTGAATAGTAATTATTGAAAATTTCACAAAACTAATGCATATTTAGTGGTAGCAGAAAATCTAACTTAACTTTGAATTGAAATCCAAATTTAAGCCCATTCTGGGCGTTTATTTTAAAACCATTTCGTTTAAAACCAATGGATTTCGCCTTAGTTCGCCCAATGCTGTCTATATAAAGTCAGCCTTACTGTCAGGTACAGCCCTTTTTTATGCTCTATGTATGGCAGCCATTTAACGGTCACTTTCAAGTAGTCAGATGGAATTAGGAAAGGCAATAAAATGATATTACTATGCATTTTTAGTTACTTCAGAGAGCTACTCCGTTTTCCTTGCTAGAAATACGATTTAAATGGATGGAACGCACAACGCTCTCATCGCTGAACAGAGGAATCTCATGCTGACTCGAAGGTGCGGCCGTGTATAGCCGCTTTAGAACAAGACACTGGGCGAAATGGTTAAATAAATAGTGCTTTAATCGTCAAGTTCCGTTTAAGGTGAATATTTTTCTCGTTTTCCTCCTTGCAATGATTCTGACAAAAATTTATTTATTTATATCAAATGGCAGGCATTTTGATAGTTTCATTAGCCCTTTAGGTGACTTCAGGCCTCACAGAGGAGAAGAAATATGAAGGTAAAAAAATTCGAGAGGGGGGGGGGAACAGAAGAGTGTTTCAAAGATGTAAAAGAGTGATACAAAGGCAGAGTGAAAAAGGTGAGGTGAGTACTGTGGAAGTAGTCGAATATGACATACAGTGGGGTGATGGTAGTTAGAAGCCAGAAGTCAGCTGCCGGCTAATAGACTTT